CTTGATGTCGTCGCAGAGGCCACCCACAAACCGCGTGACGAAGAAGGTGTCGTCGAACGCTGGGTTGTAGAGTAACACGCCATGGGCCAGCTTCTCGAACGCCGCCTGGTACTCCAGCACCGAGGCAGTCAGCTTCAGGGCGTCGAATTGCCGTAGAAGCACCTCGTACTGATCCTTCTCAAATTTCGCCAACACCAACTCGCACAGCTGCTCCCACTCGACAATCCGCCCATGCCTCTGCACGGTCTGCAACCAAGTCGCCGCGGGCTTCTTGAAGTTCAGCATGGCGAAGCGTGTCTTCATCGTCGCGTGCACAGCATAGACCTCAAAATAAATTTCACATTGATCACGCCACAAACGGGGGTTAGATCCATCGAATTTGGGAAACTCCATCTTCGAAAACCGAGGATTGTGATGGCCCGAATCATCATCCAAAGCATAAGCCTGGACTGGAGGAATGTGGGGAACCCAAATCAACCAGGCTCCAGATACCAAATGTAACGAACTTGAATAACTGAATGGAGTTTGGGAGGGAAACATAGCAAGAATCTAGAAAGAACAGAGAAGGAACTCGGTTGAATCCCGAGGGGAAGAGATCATTAGACGGGGGAAATCAGGGTTCTGTTCTTCGTTGCCGTTTACAGAGGACCGTCCTAGCTTATAACTGTCGCCAGGCGCCGACACACTCACGCACGGGGACCGACCACGGCCCAATAGAAGTACACGGCCCATGGCCAACTACTGCTACACCTGCCTAGGCCCACTGCCATAACAGCTCGTCACTCCAATGCTGAGAAAAACGAAGAGAGCTCAAATCAAGTGCCAATGGAACAGACAGGAAAACGGGTGCTGGAGCGAGGTTGATAAAAACACACTCTATTGTAGTATCGTTGTTTAGCTTTCGTCGATCGAACTAAAAAGGTTTTTTAAGTATCAATTATCAACGATCCAAAGAGGTAGAAAACGTGATACAACTAAGGCCCAATTCCTTTATACTTTCGCGTAGAAATCCGCAGCGCTCCATACACCTCGCCGCGGTCGCCGTCAATGGTTGCGGGCGCGCGCGGCGGGGTAGTCGAACGGCAGCGGGCGCACGCTGTCGTTGAGCGGTGCAGCGTGCCGGAAGCCGTACGCGCGGAGCACCTGGTCGTCGGAGAACCCTAGCGCGCGGCGCATCCCGTCCTCGCAGATCTCCCTGGTGTAGATCTTGTTCCGCTTGCCGCCGCATGGGTTGCACCCGGTGAAGTGCGTGACGAACGGGCGGCGCCACCCGGACTGCCCGCCGCCGTCGGGGCCCGGGACGACGGCCCTGACGGCGGCGTTCCGCGCCGCCGCGTACCGCAGGTGCTCGCGCTCCGCGTGCCTCCGCCGGAGGGCCGGGCCACCCTTCCGCTCCGCCGCCACATACCGCGCCGCGACGGCGTCGAGCTTGTCGACGATCTCCGCGAAGTAGCCCTGGAAGTAGTAGTCGATGCTGAGGTAGGTCTTGTTGCCCCATCGCTCCCGATTCGTGAGGAGGAGGTACGCGAGCGCCGACTGGTCGTCGGACTGGTCGTCGGACTTCTTGCTGAGTGTGTCCCTGAGCGTCTTCCCCCACTGGGCGTACTCCGGCGAGGCGGGACCCATGCGCGCCCACTCATCCATGAAGTCGAGCGACCACTGGCAGTTGCGGATGAGGAACACGCCGGCGTTGAGCCCCACCCACGACCGCTTCTCGTACACCTCCTCGGGCCAGCCGTACAGCACCAGGTTGTAGGGGCGGTACCTGGCGAGCGGGAGCGAGAAGTCCATGTCGGTGAACACGGCGTCGGCGTCCACCCACCACACCCACTCCGCCTCCGGGTGCGCCAGCATGGCGGCGCGCACGATGGGGATCTTGGCCCAGAACGCCACCATGGACGGCTCCAGCAGCGCGTTGTTGTACAGCAACTCGATCCCGTGGAGCCGGCAGTAGTCCACCTTGTTCTTGAGGAACCGCAGCAGCAGGTGGTCGCCGCCAGCGCCCTTGCACGGCTCCGGCTGCGACCCGGTCACCATCACCACGCGCTCCGGGCCGCCGCCGTTCTGGCCGCGGAGCCCGCGCGACCGCAGCCACTGCGCGCGCTTGGCGTCCCAGTCGGTGACGCGCCGGCCAAGGGCGTACGAGAGATCCGAGTCGTCGTAGAACGTGCGAGGCCCATCCGCCGGGCCGGGGACGGGGAAGGCCACGAGGCCGGCGCGGTCGGGCACGAGGATGGACGCCGGCCCCAGGAACGCCAGCACGGCAGCGGCCACGCCGGTCGCGAAGACGACGGCATCGCGCGCGCGGCTTGGCCTCGTTGGCGCCGCGCCCTTCTTGCTCGCCGCCGAAGCGGCGGCGTCCGACGCGGCCATGGGACTAGAGGAGTGTGGCGTGTGAGTGTGGACCGGGATTCACGAGTGAGGAGATCGAGGAGTGCGCGCGGAGAAAGCGCGGGGGGGCTGACTGCGATGCATGCAACCCCGGTGGGCGGTGGTCGATCAAGTCACGTGAGGTGCTCGGCGTTGCCGTCGGTCTCGGCGCGCGACGCGGCTAGGGATCGGAGAAACCGTTGGTTTCGCCACATTCTTTTATTTTTCGAGATGGGGAAGACCGGATGGCAGTGTCGGCGGCGTTTAGAGCGCAGTTTAAAATTTTGAGAACGCATCGTGCATAGTATCTTGTATTTGCTTGACCGGTGGTGCTACTTTTTAACACTAATGGGTGCAGAGTCTGTTTATCTCCGCTTATGATCGATTTCGATCAACCCAAAAGTTTCAGTTATTTTTGCTTCCGCCTTAGTAAAATCAAGAATAGAAGAAATCCATGCAGTACAGTGACTATAATCTGAGTATGTTATAAGCCGAAACAACCACGGCCGTAGTTTCCTCTGTACTTGGGTGCACATCGGCATTTCTGCATATGCTATATGGTCTGGATCGGAGGAATACAGGAGGGAACACAATTTTGACTTATACCATAGAGATAAAACTAGTACCCAAAATTAAACTAGACCACCCTTTTCTAAAAAAATTAAACTAGACCACATTCTACTTCATATAACCTCACTATAGGCTCCATTTGGTATCTTCGTAGAGGAGTGATTCTAACAAATGATAACTTAGCCAAACGTAATTGGCATGGCAATGAAAAATGTTGCTTTTGCCACAAAAATAAGACAACTAAACACCTTTTCTTTGAATATCGTTTTGCCCGTGAATTCCGCTTTAAATATTACATTTGGTCTTCCTCAACCTCATAGTATTCCTCATATGTTTGGAAGTTGGCTTCAGGAATTTGGGAAGATTTTAAAACCTTTAGTTCTGCTAGGAACGGTAGCTACTTGTTGGTCGCTTTGGTTATGCATAAATTTTTTTGGTGTTTGGAAAAAAAAACATTGTCACTCTCCTATGCAGGTGGTATCTTCGGTTATCCACCGGCTTCGTACATGGGCTATCCCCAGGCTTTGGTTGTGGCGGCATCGCAACAATTGGCTCAAATGGTCATGTTTTTTTCTCCCAGACACATGTGTGGCTATCTAGGATTGGTAGTCATTAGAATGCCGATCAGTTTCTTTATTTATTTGGTTTAACCTGTGTGCTTTTTGCTGAAGCCAGAAATGGGTTCACACACTCGATGTAATGATTGTGAATTAATACTATCCTTCCTTTCCGAAAGGGTTCCATTTGCTTTTTGGATTTGGATTGGATGAACTGAATTGGGCACCAATGAAAATACATAACAAAATGGAAATGATTCCAGTTTGACTATGTTGTTTGGTTATCAAATAAGTTGCTAAAACAAAAATCATATGAAATCAATTCTAATTGATGTTTAGTTGTATAGTTTAAGAAATCAAAATTTGAAATTCCAAATGTTTCCCTAGGTTGAGAACCAAGCAATACTTAGCATCAATGGTTGCTTGGTTGTACTCCTAGGGAGACAGAGCAATACTTAACAACATGCGTGGGAGTCCTACCTAGGTGGAGTCCTACCCGATGGTTGTACTCCTAAGTCCTACCTATCATGATATACCTAAGGTAGGAAGGTGGAGTCCTACCTATGTAAGCATCTCATGTATCTCACAATGTGGCTATTTCTTTGGTGGTAGACAACATGTGCGACAACCAGGAGACGCTAATGATAAGTTTATCGTTCTCAAAATCAATCAGCCTAGTCTTTCATAGCACGAGTGTGTGTGAATGTTTACATCTAGAGTGTGGCTTTGAAATAAAATATGACAAGGGGATGTAGTTTCATTTTAATTGTTAGCTGGTCCAAAAATCTCATTTGAACAACATGATTTTTAGGTTGTTTAGGTCGTCTATGGATTATAGAAATATGATAAATAATATGCAGGCAATTCAAACACCCCAAATTATAGGGGAAAAACGTTATAATAATCCAATAACTTGATTATTAATTAGAATCTCATTATCTCATCAAACCTGCTAATGGGAGATTATTGGTATTTAGCGACTCAACAACAATATAATCTAAGGATCGAAATAGACTACATTGCTACTATCCGGAATCTAGATTGTAAATATAGAATCATCAAAACATGGGTATTAATTACAAGGAATAAAATGGTCCAAACGCATTAGGAATCAAGATATAGGAAATAAGCAATTTTGAATAAGGTGTACCACATAATCATAGCATCAAATACATGAATCTACTACAGCTGCCACCTCAACCTCCTCCATACATTTTTTTCTGAGCGAAAACCTCATCCTACATGGGCAAGGGCAAAAAAAAAAAAAAAACCATTGTAAGCCCAATATTCACCAAACCGCGGGGATCTTTGCATCCTAACGCTTACGGCCCACTGTAGCCCATCAGGCCATCACACCTTGGGCTTGCTCCGTCTGTGTTCCGCCTCTCTCTGTTTTTTCTGGAAACGCCTGCGAGCGAACGCTGTCTTGGGTCCTGTGTCGCCGACGTGGGCTCGCCGTCGCCACGAGCTCCACCTTCCTCTCTCCGCTCCGGCCCGAGCGCGATGTGGCGAGCGACGAGGCGGTGTCCGCCGCTGCTGCAGTGGCTCTCGTCGGACGCAGCCGTCTCCAAGGCGCCGCGGCAGCGGGTGGCGGCGCTGTGGGGGAACGGGGACTACGGGCGGCTGGGGCTGGGCGCGCTGGAGTCGCGGTGGAGCCCCACGGTCTGCCCCTTCTTCCTCGCCCGCGCCGCCGACCCGCTCGCTTCCCTCGCCTGTGGCGGCGCACACACCCTCTTTCTGACCCGTATGCCCCCGCTTTCCTTCCCCACCTTTTCATCTTCATTCACTTAACATCACCATCTGCCCGTCTAGTAATACGACTATACGAGAGCAGAGATCATGCTAGAGCTGATTCATTGTCTTGGTTCACGCAGTTAAAATGATTTTATTTTTACCTACCATACTAACATTGCTAGATATGCAATGAGCTGATTTTGACCATATGCTCTGAGTTGGAGTGATCGTAGTTATACTAATACACAATGTCACATTGCCCTGCTCTTCCGGCCAATAAATTAGCATAAGCAAGTGAACAATCAGCATTTTTTTTTTATTTCTGTTTGAATTGTGGTGTCGTGATTCGGCAGAGGTTTTCCTTTCTGTTTTTATGCAGAGAGTGGGCAGGTGTTTGCTACAGGGCTGAACGACTTTGGGCAGCTCGGGATAGGATCCTCTGTTACACATACACTGGTACTGATTCTTGCCCATCTTATTTCATATGTTTGCTTCCACATTGTCTATTAGCAGAACTTTGGCATGGATCCTAGCTGAGGGAAGAAAAAACCTTGGCTAAGTAATTGAAAGCTGCATGCATTAACATTTAACTGGGGGGAACAATCGTGTCTCCTATTTCATACAACGCTAACCAATTTACTTAGGACTTATCGTGCATTTCAGTAAAAAAGTACATTTTGTATTACCGCGAGGGCTTGGATACCCTTCGAAGTAGACAATATTATTTTACTGGCACTTTTTAGAGTCAAGTTTAGTCATTTACATCAGTTGCTAGATACATCAGAATTAAGAAGCAAAGCAGGTATTACTGGTCATTCACAACATTTATTTACACTTTATTTCTGTATAACTTCAATAGCTTTGGTTTTCCTATCTGTGCTTTGAATGAATTTGATGTTTTTTTTTCTATAAGCTACGAACCATATGATTCTGATTATTCCACATACTGTGTCCTTCCTTTGTCTACAGTATATAATTTATTTTTTCCTTTTCATGTAGGAGCCTGTTGAAGTTTCTGGATTTCACGAGAGAGTTGTAGAAGTTTCAGCTGGCAACCATCATTCTTGTGCAGTTACCGGTAATAGAAAATAATTAGATTCTCTAGGTGCCTGATTTTATTCACCATAATAAGGTGAATTTATTAACTGATGATAGCAGACGGAAGGGAGGGAGCCATCTTGACGGTAGGCTGCAGATAGTTCAACCTTCTCGGGTGTAGAAGTTTGTGCTTCCTTGCTTCTTGTTTGTGTGGGCCAAAACACACAAGTACGGGACGAGGAAATAAACTTTTTTGGCCTTTCTAGTTGTTTGAATATTAATCTAGTGCTGAGTCTTCATGATTCAAGAATATTGCCATTCATCGCTTGGAAGCTACATGTGGGTATGGTGCTGTAATAAGTTCATTATAATATTTATTATGGCCCCAGTTACTCTACTAGATATTGACAATGGATTTGATAAACCAAAATACATATTGGGTAGGTTGCACTTTCAAGCAAAAAGGGCCATATGGATTTGTACACTCTCCCTAGACCTAAGTGCGATAGCACCTTAATTGAAATATGTTATTGCTCATTTGCTAATTGAGCTGTGATATGCTCTGTAAAATGTATTTATTTTTTTAAGGTTATTGTCACTGAATGCTGCACTGCAGCATACAAATACATTACACCAGAATAATGTTTTACTGATATCTGGATAAGTATAACAGAAAAGAAGTGTGATTACCATCTCTTCTATTTCTTTCCCAAATTTATTTGTGCTGCACATATTTGCATTGTAATAATTGTATTACCAATCTCCACTAAAATTTTGTGTTTTGACTTTCTTGAACAGCGGATGGTAAGCTCTTTGTTTGGGGCAGAAACTCAGGTGGCCAGCTTGGCCTTGGTAAAGGTAATAGTGTCATCCCCGGTCTTTACTTCCGTAATGCCACTTATTAATGTGATATCATAATTGAATGTTCTGGTATCTATTATACTCTGACACTATCAACAGCAACTTACTGACATTGATGAGTGCTTGATCCCACAAAAAATAATAAAATCTCTGTATGAGTTTAGGAAATCCTAATAGATAGCTTCATAGCTCTTTGGTATTACTTGACCACTGTTTCAACTCACCATACATGTCTTTATATTATTTTTCACGCAGCATAATCATGTTTCTATTAAGATTTTGCTAGGGACTATGGTAGATCGTGCTAAGGAAAATTTTCCATCAATTATCCTTTTGGCAGTTTTATTTCTGAGATGGAGTTTTTCTTTCTTTAGGGGCAGGTAAAGTAGTTTCTACCCCAACAAAGGTTGATTGTTTGACTGACTTCAGAGTAAAATGGTTGCTCTGGGATCAGAGCATTCAATTGCTGTTACAGGTGACTAAGAAATTGGTGCTTTATACCAGTTGTATTTGAATATTTCTACCTTCAAGAGTCTGAATCTCTGCTATCATTTACTTCTCAAGAGAAAGGTGAAGTCTTGAGTTGGGGAGCTGCTGGTTCTGGTAGGCTCGGGCATGGCCGTCAATCTAGCATCCTGGGATTTTCTCTGACCTCAAGGTATGTTAATATATATTTCAGTAAAAACTTACTCTGTAAAAATTTGTGCTGGAACTTAATTGTGTATGTACTCTATGTCATGGAATGATTCATTCTCATCTATTAAGAAGATAAGAAAATCCATAACCATAAGAGATGGAAAATTTTCTACTACAAGCTGAGCGTGCCTAAGTGCACAAGAGAGCTATGTGCATGATTTTAAGAGGAATGGGCCTTCTAAATATCTTAAGCAGTTAAAGCTTGTGACGAATTAATTGGTGTGGCATATATGGGTATTGTTTGTGCTCCTTAAACTGAACAAGGTTGTTAGATATGTAGTATTGTAGTGTGAGTTTTGAGTAAAATGCCTGATGACATATAGATACAGAAGTTTGAAACTTGGAAGGCTTCTGTCGGATATCTTAGGGTAAAATAGGTCTGACGATTCTGGATATGTTTGTACTATATGGTTTTAAATTGTTTGAAAGATAATAGATTGATAACTATATCTTCACTTGTGCAGTGAATATACTCCAAGATTGATCAAAAACTTTGATGGTATCAAGGTATTTTGACTTGAAACTCAACATGCCTATTAATCAGAAAAGGTTCTCTTATTGTCATGTAGTGATTGTCTTCTATTTCTATTTGTTTATGGATTGGCTAGATTAAAAAGATAGCTGCAGGAATGTTGCACTCAGCTTGCATTGATGGTAAGCATGCAGAAAAGCAATATTCAAATTGTACAAATCACAATTATCCATCTTATGATTTCCCTATGTCAAAATTGCAGAAAAAGGTACTTTGTTCATATTTGGGCAGAAGACTGAGAAGGTGGTATCCAATCAGACCACCTTGGCATTTGTTTTTTCCCTTCCCTTACCAAAATGCTTTTTTATCTCCCTTCATTTCCTTGGATTTAACAAAACATTTTAGGGATTTGGAAGATCAAACGAAGCATTCAGACCAAATATTGTTGAAGAGATACCATTTTCAGAAGAAGTTGCTTGTGGAGGTTATCATACTTGTGTTGTAACAGGTATTGGTGTTTGATGCAATCTTTGTTTTGTATTTTGTTAATGTGGAATGATCAAAATTTTCAGCTGTTAACTTGTCATACAATTTTGAAACATATACGCTGATGCTTTTACAGATAGCGGTGATCTGTATTCTTGGGGTTCAAATGAAAATGGCTGCCTTGGTCTGGGGTATTTCATCTATGACTTTTTCAAGAACTTTCGTACATCATCTTGTATCCTACCTATATCAGTGTGCATCCAATGCCGAAGTTGTATTCTTACATGATTATCTCTAACCAGAGGTACAGATATGGTTCGCTCTCCAGAAATTTTGAAAAGCTCGCTATTTAAACTTCCTGTATCTAAGGTTTGTGCTTCTGGGCACCTATCTCATTTTTTTATATATTGCACCACTTAAAGACAGTTCTTGTTTGATGTATGTTGGACATTTAAGCTCTCAAATGTGTGTTGGACATGGAGTCCTTGACCATTTGCCCTCTGTAGGTATCTTGTGGTTGGAAGCACACAGCTGTAATTTCAGGTATCATAATTTATGCTTCTTTTTCACTAGTATGTTGGTTCTAATTAGTAGCAAATGCTAACAGAAACTCCTTTTTTAGTCTTGACAACAGCTGTCTCAATCAAGGGCTCCATACATGGTTTGTTTTGATAGTATCTTGTAGGTCAAAAAGGTTGTTTTAAAAGCTCTAGCAAGAATAATATAGAACAGTAGACTAGACTATACTTTGATGTGACAGACACTTTTGAGTTGAATTCTTTTGTGTTTACTATAATCTGACACTTGTCTGTCTGAGGGTCAGATTAGCAATGTGCCTACTATGGTGAGTGTTAACCTTTTAACAAACATACTGCGAGGAACTGGTCTAGGAATTTCTTGGATTTAGGTCAAAATTTGAACTGTATCCCAAAGATTTGGATCCCAACCCCCTTCAAACAAACAGGTCCTAAAGGTCATTTGCATGTTGAATCAGATTAACTGTGTATCTTTAAAAATTGATATTGGATTTTCTGAACTCATAGTTCTAGGTATAAAAAGGACTGTAAATTTATTAAAAACATCGGAGGCTCTGGCAGGGTTCTGGGTAGTGGCCCAAACTGTGCCAATATGGATAATGTAAGGTTTTTGGGGCAGAGTATTAAGTGAAGTTCATTTTTTTTCTTTTGGTCTAGCTTTTTAAGGTGAATGGATGACAAGATTGCCTGTGTTATGTATTGGGTAGTTTTAGTTGTCAAAAGATTTTTTTTTCAGCTATACTTTATCGCTTTGTGCTCTGAGCACCTCAAAACATCCAGGTGATGACATTTACACATGGGGTTGGGGAGGCGCCAATGGAACTTTTTTCAAGAGGGCATTCTTCCGGTGGACAGCTAGTGAGTTGCTTTCTGCCACTACAATTGTTTCTACTTGATGCATAATCCCCACAGGACGCCAGTCATATGGTCAAACTGCCTTGCTACTTGCAGGGACATGGAAGCGACGTAGACTATTTTGAACCTATGATGGTTCCCTTTGGCAAGAATGCAAGAGCGGTCCATGTATCGTGTGGCTTCAATCATACTGGTGCAATTTACGAGTACTCCGAGGACTGACTGACACTGCAGACACCAGATCAGCATGTCTTGGAGACTTGCACTAATTATCAAATTCTATGCACATAAACAGCAGAAAGAAGCTCTGATATTGGACCTGCATCTATGTGAAGAGAAATATAGAACAGAGTGATAATACCCCCTGAGAGGGGATGTAAATTAAACAGAATAAGGGATGAACTGGATGCATTTTGTGATGCATCAGAGTTACATGTCATTGTATAGCATTCCTTCATTTATTGTGTGGTTCTGTATGTATTGTTTTGCCAGCTACTAAGAAATTCATTGCCTGATATCTCAGCAGGCTGTTCGTGTACATGATGAGTGCTTGACTGGCTTCAATTTTTTCCTTTTATACAAAACTAATAAAAGAATAAAAAATAAAGGGTGCTGCTACCATATACCAACCTTATCACTAGAGGTCAAACGCTGGCCCACGAAGCGTTGCTCCGCCCACCTTATGGCTAGAGCGTAGAGCCCAACACCCTGGATGGTCCAACTGCAAACGGCGGCCCAGCTGCCAACCTTCGCTGCCGTCCTGCCTCATGCGCCTGGGAGACTGCCAGGCCAGGCTCGTGACCTCTTAGCATCCTCCGCCAGCGCCAGCGCCGGCGCCGCCGACTGCCGACCACCCTGCCGTCCCTGAACCCCGCCACCTCTCCCTCCCCTGGTGCAAGTGCAATCTCCGGCTCTTCCTCCCTGTCCCTCTCTGTCGCTGAAATGAGGTTAAAAAAAGGTGAACGTCGATTAAATCCTGTGGAAGAAAGGGTGGTTTGGTTGGATGCTCCCACGACTCACCCTCACTTACTGAGGTTCTCTGCAGGTGCAGCTGCAGGAACACTAGAGCACATCGCGGCGTTAAGGTTTTGCCTCCTCATCTCTCACCAGTCGTCACTTCTGATGAACTGTAGGAACTGGTACGTTTCTTTTGTGTGTGTGTGTGTATATATATATATATACTACTTTCATTTCTCTAGACCTTAACAGATTATCCACTTTTTTTGTCCCAAATTGAATGTCAAGTTAACATTACTACACAAATCTTAACCAAGGCGGGTAAAATTGATTTATTGAGACGGGCATCCCATCCGCCTTGGTGGAAAGGTCACACTAAATCAATCTTAACTGAGACGGTTCAAATGCCCGCCTAGGTTAATCAAATTAAAATAACAAAAAATAAATAAAAAAAAGGTCGAAGCCCAAACCGTGTCTGGATATAGGCCTCGCGCCGCTGCCCCTGCACGCTCCCCGCCGCCCGATCCGCCGCCAGGGAAGCAGGATCCACGCTGCTTGGGGAGGGAGGAGAGGGAGCCATCGCCGATCCGCCTCCCGCCGCCACGATCCGCCTTCCCACGCTGCAGCCCGTCGCCGGATTCGAACTCCTTGCGTGCGCCGCCGCTGCCGATCCGAGAAGAGGGAGCCGCCATCGGATCGGGCCTGCCCACGCGCGGATCTAGCCTCCACACTCATGCCGCCGAAGGATCCACGCTGCTCGGGGAGGGAGAAGTCACCGGATCCGCCGGAGAAGGGAGAGGCAGGCCGCGCCGCTGGAGGGAGAGGGAGCCCCACCACCACGCCGAGGGTGGGAGAGGAGCCGCCGTTGGTGAAGGAGGGAGGAGCCGCCGTGGCTCGCCCACCGCCGGATGGGCCCCCGCGCGCACGGCGTGCCTGCTCGACCACCTAAGGAGGAGGGGAAGGGTGGGGCACCGTAGAGGAAGGGTTGGGTCGCGGCCCGAGAGGGGAGGGGAAGGGCGTGGCTGGCTACACGCCGTAGAGGAGGGGTGCGAGGTGTGAAGAAGGGTGCGACTGGGAGAGAGGCCTAATGTCGGGGAGCAATACTGGGGTACCCAAAGAGGAGGAGCTAATAACCATCAACGTTGATTCATCCGAGTGGTCAAGAGCACGACTACACCTCTTGCTGATCCCCAGGTACGCAAGTTCCGCCTCGCCCGACCCCTGAGGGTGGCTCCACCTCGCCCGACACCGAGGCCACGGGCTCCACCTCGTCCGACCCCCGAGGGTTGGCTCCGCCTCGGCCCACACCGAGGCTGCGGGCTCCGCCTCGTCCGACCCCCGAGGGTTGGCTCCGCCTCGGCCGACACCGAGGCCGTGGGCTCCGCCTCGTCCTACCACCGAGGCCACGGCTCCGCCTCGTCCGACCACCGAGGTCGCGGGCTCCACCTCGTCCAAGCCCCGAGGGTTGGCTCCGCCTCGGTGGATCCCCGAGGTTGGCTCTGCTCGCTCGACCCTCGAGGGTTGGCTCCGCCTCGGTGACCCCGAGGTTGACTCGCTCTACTGGTACCGAGGTCGCGAACTCCGCCTCGTCCGACCCTTGAGGGTTGGCTCCGCCTCGCCCACCCCCTGTGGTTGGCTCCTCCTCGGCCAGAGTCGAGGCCGCGGGCTCTGCCTCGCTCGACAAAGACCCATACCGCCGCCAACCACTCCAGGACCAAGCGTGTGGGTCTGGGTCAAAGCTCTGACACCAGGGAAGCGACCGACATGCCCCGATATGACCCATGGCCGTGATGGGCCATGCTTGGGGACTCACATTAGGAACAGCATCGGGCGTCACTGCACTGCTCGCTTAACCCTCGTACGAACACTGACAGACGCGTTAGTTCACCACGATGTCCACCAAGACGGAGTGCAGCGCCACGACCAGGAGACGACGCCTACACATGGCGCCAGTGATGGACAGGGCCACAATGTGGAGCTATCCCTGTGGACGTCTACAGGGTCGGTGGGACCCACATGAAGGAAAAGAAGGACCCGATGACCCTGGGGGACTTCTTCTCCTTCTCATTCTCATCTCTTCCCTCCGCTGTAACCCCTACTTTCCCTTGGCCTATAAAAGGGAAAGCGGGGCATCCCATTAGGGGCATCGCACATCGGACCGAACAAGACACATCCGCATCCGAGCTCGACTCGACTCAATCAAGGTCGCCACAACACACCACCGAGACTTGGGACCAGTCCTCTCTCGATCGCTTGTAACCCCTACTACGAACTTTCAAAGGCTAGTAACACGAGCAACAACAATAAAAATCGGACGTGGGGTCATTCTCGCCAACTAGTATAAACCCCATGTCCTCTTAGCACACCATCCGGCTAGACGCTAATAATAATACAAATTTACTTGTTGGTGGCAACTCAAAACACCGGCTTAGTTGGCATGCCAAGTAGGGGATTTTTATGCCTCGACATCCACACCAGGCCTCGGATGGCTAGCCACAACCTCGATTAGGTCCTAGGAGCGCATGTGCGCTTTCGGGACCTGGACTTCACCGTCACGACGGAGGGAGAGTTAGCAATGGCTCCCATCGCCGTCCGACCTCTCCACTCCACCGGCCTCGACGTAATCGCCGAGGCGCTTGAGGAGCTGCAGCTGCACGCACCGAGGGCCCGTGCCCCCGGAAACAACTAGCTCCTCAACTTTGACCACGGGAGGCTTCCTAGGACCCTGGCCGTCCTGGGAGGACCTGCGCCGCCTCACCTTTTCGTTCGCCAACGTCATGGCGCAGCTTGCAGGTGGGGAGCCGCTCTCTCCGGAATACCTCATCCAGAGCACCCCTACAGAGCTCCCGTTCGATCTCCGCAACGCCGCAGAGACTGATGACCACCCTATGGCGCAATGCACGCCTTCATCCCCTGCGAACGAAGGGTTTGTGGGGATGACCAAATATGTCATGGAATCTTTCCATGACCTCCTTGCGGGAGCATCGAGTCGCCTCTCGGCTCGACTCCAAAGAGGGGAGTCATCACCCTCTCATGAATGTTTTATGGCGGTACCCCGAGGGACACATCGAAAGCATCCATGAGGAGGAGGCTACCCCGACAAACGACCTCAATGATGAGGTCGAGGGGGAGATAGCGGCCCCACCTCGCATACGGGTGGAGCAACTAAAAGCCCGACACCAAGAGCTCGAGGAAGCATGACTCTAGCTCGAGCAGGAATGCACGAAGCTCGATCGAGAGATCGAGCACCACAGAGACGGTGGGCGTGTGCGCCATGGCCTGCGACGTGAACCAGAGGATCATCGCGGACGATGAAGCCCTCCCACATTTCGCCCGGGCGAGCAAGAACATCGTTGCTATGGCGGCCTTGCTCTGTGGTCTTTCAGGGCCCGCGACGCCCGAGGATCGTCAGGCCCACCGTGAGATTCGTACGCTGCTCGAGCGTGCGGTGGTGCAGCAGGCCGAGAGCTTGTTGTCTCGGCGATGTGAGCTCGACGCCACCTAGCGCACACCCTCAGAGCTCCCCTACAAGGACACGTTAGTCCACCAGGCGCCACAAGGCGGCAGGCAGCGCACCACGGTCCTGGTGCATCAGCGTCTCGGCCGTAACTGTGACGCACACGACACCCTCGACGCTCGCAGACGTACCCACGATGACTCGAGAGAAGGGAGCTAGCCGCGGCTATCACCCTCGTCGTGGTAGACGTTACGACAGCGGCAAAGACCGAAGCCCGAGCTCCGGCCTGTCGGGGCCTCAGGCCTTTGGCCGACACATCCTCAACACCGCCTTCCCGCCAAGGTACCGACCACCAACCAATATCCCAAAATACTCTAGGGAAACGAACCCCAGACTATGGCTCGAGGATTATTGGCTTGTCTACCAAGCCAGTGGAGCGGATAACGACGATTTCATCATCCGAAACCTTCCATTGTTCTTGGCCGATTTGGCGCAAACATGGTTGGAACACCTTCCGCCCAACAGAATCTAAAGTTGGGCGGACCTAAAGGAGATCTTTGTGGGGAATATCCAGAGCACGCACAAGCGCCCTAGGAACCCTTGGGATCTCAAGAACTGCCGATAGAA